CGTCGCATCGGTCGCCCGTCCATCCAACCGACAGTCCAACTGACTGACTGACTGACAGACACACAGATGGACGGACGGACGGACAGGCCAACAGACACGCGGCCCGAGCGACCGACTGGCAATGATTAACCTGGGCGTAACCGCTATTCAATCCTACAGGGCATCGAGGCTGCTCATCAGAGCGCTCCGAACAATGAGTTCTGCGAGTGGTAGTTGAATCCCAACAGTGATTGTCAGCGGTGACAGAATGAGCGGCATTCGACAATGCAGAAGCAACAACATTAATGAAGTGAGCTTCGTTACTGGAAGCGTAACGGTCCGCTGCGGTGACTCGTGAGCTCTTCAGATCTTCGGCCATCGTCATCAAGACATCAAGCTCACCTACGACGCGACGTCACTTGCGATAAGCGGGAGCTCCGCGAAGGCGGCGAGATCGACAGAGTTCTCACGGCACTGTCCCACCCCGCGCACGGTCACTTAGCCACCGCAAGTAGTATGACATAATCTTAATCCGTGAAAGAAGTTTCCATCGCTTACGGATGATCGCGTGATGCATCCGTTGTCGGCGCAGGGACGTTCAGCCGACGCGTTGAGTCAGCGCGGCTAGGAACAATGATTCCGTAGAGAAGACTGAAAAGAGTTTTCTCAAGTTCGCCGTTTGTCGGTTGTGGGTGTCTGAAGCTTTTGGAGCTGAAGCGGAGATCGAGTAGGCAGTCAGTTCTTTATTTCTCCGGTCTTGGTGCCTCTCATATTCTGCATGCATGTGCCGGACATCTGAGTGAGTTGATCTCCATCTCTAGTGACTTGTGCGATGGGCGACTTCCTGGCGCTCGTGCTGCCAGTTGAGAATCCGTATTCCCCTTGGATTTTCGGCAGCTACGGGAGCTCATCGCGAAGACGGCAGCCGCGAATGAATCGGTTTTCCCATCGCTACTTGCTGCCTAAATCTCGGAGCTTGCGAACGAGCACGAATTTCAATCGTACCTCAGGTTTCACAACCGACGTGACGTCAATGTTTGAGATTCTCTCTCGTCTCCTCGTTGTTCCCGCTCTCATAATGACCTCGTCTGATAAAATGACTTCGAGAGTTTCTTTCTCTAACGAGTCATTCAGGATCCGGTGAATGCAAGGGTATTAGATGATCCGATTAATCGAGTAGCGACGGATGAATTCTGCAGGAGCCCTTAGCACGAAATCACTTTTCAACTCGCTCTGCACAACGACAGACAAGGAATGATCCTCTTGAGCTGTTCCTGGGAGCATCCACAGAATTTTCACTGCGATCGAACTTTTGTATTTCCTCTTGGCTTTCTCTAGACAAAGGAGTGGATTGCACCGCTCAGCTGACAACAATGAAAACCCATAGGAACCCACAGATTTTTTTAGTCGGGGCCGGTGAGATGGCACCCTGGTGGCTTGATTGCTCTATCGAGCCGGTTGCTCACGTGTTTTTTTTTCGCTCGGTGGGACTACGGAGGTACACGTGAACGCTGATCGTTATAGGGACGTTTGTACTCACCCGAATACTCTAAAGTCTAAAGAGGATCTCTCCCTCCGAACAAATGGTGGGAAATATCCGTCGAGCGTCCGCGGGCAGCGTTGAATGTTGCTCCGTCGGGGGAGCTCCGGCAGTGCTGAAGTTTTTGATGGACTGTTTTTGAAATCTGGTAAAGATGATGGAGTTATTGCGGTTGCTCTGTTGCTCGCTCCCCTGTTTGGTTTGTTTCCATCTTTACTTTATTTTCGAACACAATTCCGTGACTCGGTTGCTCAACTTTGTCCATAGACTGGCCCGAAAAGCGAGGGCCCAACGTTTGCGATACTCCGGCCATACCGACCGCTCGAGGTACTTCGTTTGCTCAGGACATTTTCTAGATGGTCAGATGTTTCCGGAGTTTGACGTTCACATTTCAAAACTTCCTCGTTTTCCCGACCGAAGGACCGATTTGTTCGAACGACTTCTTCTGCTCGAGCATTCCATCGTCGTCGCATCCTCGCACGAGGCTTGCGCTTAATCGACGGGGTAGACGCGAGGTTGACTGGCGATCGTTTCCCGGACCGATGGGTGTCATTGGGTACTCGCGCGGATTTCGATTCGACGATGACTTCTCAATTCTGACGCGTTTTTTCTCCATCCCCTCTATCAGCCAGCGGGTGGAGCTTTCAAACATTGGAAAAATACCAGCTGACAGCTATTGAGACAGATAGCAATCAGACCGTTTGTGCGCGTGGGAAAGACCCAAAATGCAGAATATAATCACGTCGGTTTGATCCGCGACAGTTTGTTCGAAATACGCGGTGCGTCTTCATTCAGCACGCTTCTGTGGTGGAGGGACAGACCGAACGCATATAGAGCGGAGCCTGCATCGAATCAGAATGAGTAGTCCGGTTCCAATTGGCTTCGCGGAATCAGAAAGAGCCGGGCCGGACCACGAAAACTTTCTCTGCAGTATTTGTACATTTTTCTGGGAGAGTCAGAGACTCGCTTCCAGGGAGCAAGCTGCGAAGATAGACTGGAATCATTCAAACTTCCGGAGGGATTGCGGTTTCTGAGCTAGATTATCTGTGATCAGGCTCTAAGATCTCTTCAGTTTATTCTATCGAGGTCCGGAATGGCGGATTGAGCTCCGCTCATGATGAAAACTGCTTGATGGCGGCCTCGAGACTGTTCCTAGTTGAACACTGTTTTGTCATCATTCACTTCTCTGTTCGTAGTCAGTCGCTTACACGCTGATACAGATCCCGAACTAAGACTCAGGAACTTTCCCGGGGAATATGAAGGTTGCTCGGTCGGTCGGTCCGTTCGTCGGTAAACGAGTCGTTCGGACTTTGCTTTGAAGTCTCTTTTTCCCCGAATCGCTCGTTCGATAGCGATCTTCAACGGGATTTTATTTCTTTCCGTTACCCCGCTCGGATTTCTCTGCTTCTCTATGGTATCTTCCGAATCCATTGTTGGAGCGATATTTCAGTTTCGACGATTGATACCTTTCCACTCTAGAGTGCGGGAAGCTACAGCCATGCAGGAAACGCTGGCGTGAACTCATTCTTGCCTACGAAGGCGTAATATAACGGAGAGATGGAAGTAATAAAATTGAAATTTCACCTCTCGGACGGCGTCAACAACCGCGGCGGGCAGCTTCACAATAAATTTTCTGCGCCCCCTCGTCCGAGTAACAATGCGCCGGGACTGCCAGTTTTTTCCGCTTCCATTTCGCGCAGCTCGGCGACAATGGTGGATGACGACCACGAATTATTGTTGTTATCGTGATTATCATGAGTTTTATTGTCATGACATTGTATGTGTCGAAAGTACAATCGTCACCGTCGTCTTCATCCGAACTCTTTGCCACGTCGGCCCACCGAAGCGATTCCCGCTTCCACGACACTGTCAATTTTGAAGATCGATGCCTGCTTCGCTAAAACCGTGTCCCGTTGGAACCTTTCGAGTTGCGGGGGGAAAATCGACGTAATAGCGGGGGCCACAGCATGCGAATTACGATATCTTGTCCCATCAGCTCCGTGCGGCATCATCGATACGAGGAGCGTGTTTCCGCACGCGGAATGCGGGACCGGGGAGGGAACGATGCCATCGACGCTGCCGACTGCCTGGTGAAAACTTCGTTCCGTCTTCACTCTCGTTTTTGAGCGAAAGAGAGTCGGCGCCGGGCGTCAAATGGCATGGCGAAGCGCTATTATTTATGAATTAAGAGTTTCCGCGAAAGGCCAAGAAGATAGGGGACGAACTCAAATTAGATGAAGCAGAATCTGGAAGGGGGAAACTGCTGTGGCTGGCGCGTTGTTTGGTCTTCCGCCCTAATCTAAACAATAGCAGATGTGTCCCGTCGCGGGCAGTCACAGAAGCCTTTTCCAGATTTTCCGCTCAAAGTCGACTAACGCTCGTATCTCGCGGAATCGATGATGATCTCGTAACTGTTTCTATCGGACGGGTCGATCGATCATCTCCCCGTGTCGATAGCAACCGACCTTTTCACCGCACCCCTCGCGGAGCGACCAGAAGAGGATTGGGATCAGTTTACGCGCCCAATTCCTGGAAGTTATAATAAAAAGCGCCTCCTCATTCGGATCATCTTCCTTAATCTTCTTTCTTTCTAAATGGTCGATCGTTATCATGAGTGGTCCTCCCGAGTGTTGATCGGAAGCGAAGAGCGCTCTGCACAGAGGCGAACGGATTCCGGAAACAAATGTTGGATCCCGCTCTTCCATCTCTTTATTCTTTGACGGCAGCGAGAGGTATCTCGGTCGTCGTCGCCGGCGGGCGTCCAGGGGGGCAACGATGATTTGGCAAAGAATGGTATTTTCTTGCTCGGTTTCTGGCTCTGCACGCTCTGAAATATATGGTTCCGTCGTAACCGTCAAGCGAAAGCGACGATGGTGAGGCGAACCAGCCGTTTCTACCGCGTGTTTTCGCGGAACATTCGGCAGTCAGAGCGTGACTCATTGGTATCTTGGAAAACCCTTGGAGGAGGGTGGGCATCAGCCACGAGTCATGGTTCGCGAATACGAGTGAACTCACGATGAAAGTTTTGGCATCGCGGAAAGAAATTGGTATACGGCGGTGCTCCATTTCGGAAAGTAAATATCGCGAAAGTGCACACTCGTGTGGGCATCGGTGTATATTCTTTGGAATCGCAAGACGCTGCTTCCTGAGCGTTCTGAAGGCCGCTAATCCGGAGTCGGTACGAGCTTGACATACACGCTGACTGGGCACATGGATGGACCCGATCGGCACCGCCTGGATAGTCAAGCCGCTCTTTTTTCAGGTGTACAAACGATCGTAGAGCGTCTCGGCAAACTCCGAGTCGTAAATATTTTCTGGTATTTCTGCAGGGTGCAGGCTGTGAAGGTGCTGTAAAAACGTTCAAACAGACAGTCCACGCCCTGACACTCACACCCAGTTTAACGGAACACCATCCATCGTCGTTTCCGCCACTATCAAATTTTTCGGTGATGCTGCTATTTCACTGAGCTATTCTTTACAGGAATCCGCTCAACATTTCATTATGTTGAGGCTGTTGCCGGTGCTACTGGCGGCGAACCTCTTGGTTCTCGGTCGCACTCAAGGTACCGCGGATGAAGAGGTGAGTCCAAAACGAGCGTGAATCCTCTTCGAATGTATTGATCTAATTTTTCGGGTGGATCTCGAACCGAAACCTCTTCTGCAGGAGACCGTCCGGATCTCCCCCGATGGACAACAGAACCAACCAGCCGGTGAAAGTTTCGGTTTGTACTGCAAGAAAGGCCTGGGAAGCGGCTCCTACAGTAACTTCCGATGGATCGGACCTCAGGTACGGTTCCTCTCCGATTTTATCATGATCTGTGTTTCGAATCGCTCACTGCGAACCCTCGTATGTGCAGGCTTCGTGAGGGAAACTTATTCTTTTTGTTTTCACAGAAACAAGAATACACGTCAAACAATTCGGCAGCGATTTACACTTTTGAATCGGATGCTGGATTCATTCTCACTTTTGAAAGACCCACTCCAGAAAATTCTGGGACTTACACGTGTAAGGCCTTGTACGCGAACACGAAAACTGTGCAAGCCGAGGTGAAAGTATCATTTTTTCACGACATCACGTTCGACGATTGCCCCCTGGTTCAAAATCTTGTGAAAGGCCGCGACGGTGAGTAAATGATATTGTTGCAGTCATTCACGACGAATTTATTTACGTAAAAGAATCAAGCACCATTCTCCCGTCATTGAAGAGAACGGGACATTCAGATGATTCGTTTTCGTGTCTCGTCCCACAGGCGTAATACGCTGCAACGTTCACGGGAACCCGGTGCCCAGGCTCCATTGGACGAAATTCAATAAACCCGCGATCGGTCCTCGATACAGTTTACAGGGAAGCCACTTGAGTGTGCAACGGGTGGAGGAGAACGACGCGGGGAAATATCGAGTCACGGCGTCCGTGGAGGCCACGGGAAAAATAAAAAAGGAGATCATTACGGTCAACGTGATAACCGTCCCGGAAATCCTCGGCCTCGAGTCGGATCCGATAAACGAAAATGAGCTCCGCACTGTTCTGTGTCCGGCTTCGGGCATACCTCCCCCGTTATGCTACTGGACGGATTTCAGGGGGCGGAACCTTTCCCTCATCCCGGAATTCAAAGTGAACCCGCAGGCGTGTACGCTGGATTTCCTTCGAGCAACGAGAAGTCAGGATGGACAATACACTTGTCACGCGGTGAATTCAGCCGGAGTTGCGACTTCGTCAACCCAGATTTCGGTCAATATTCCACCGAGGATAGTGGAGTTCAAGAACATGACCGTCGATGAAAACGGCGTATCCGACTTCTACTGCGTAGTCGAGGGCAAACCCGCCCCGGATATTTCGGTTCGCAAGGAGGGTGACGCTTCAAATCTCGAGTCCGATCGCGCCTTCACATTCAGTCGCTCCCAGAGAGACTTCACAACGATCCTCCACGCGAGACTCGATAACACGCGGAAGGAGCGCGCAGGTCTCTACTACTGCCGAGCGGAGACCAGAGGGTTCCACGTCGAGAAAGTCGGTCATCTCAGCGTGATGTTCGCACCGGTGCTGACTCCGAAAGAGAACCCGGTTTACGCTTGGCAGAATCGAGACGCCGTCCTAACCTGTCACATAAGTGCCATCCCTAATGCGACCATCGAATGGAGGGACTCCCAGGGCTTGAAAGTCCAGAATCCTGATTATTACAGAATAGAGAACTCGGTAGGCGTATCGGTGCTCTATGTGAACGATCAGGCGAACCGATACGACCGGGAGTTCGCTTGCGTGGCGACAAACTCGATTGGGGAGAGTACACTCGTGTTCCAGGTGCTGGAAGCCCGCAGACCGAGCAGCCCCGGTCTACCGAAGTTGGTGCACGCTTCCGCGACGACCATTTCTTTCGTTTTCGAAAAATTAATCCAGAACGGTGGGATGCCGATCATAGAATACGCCGTCAAGTACTGGCGGCGGAATCCTCCTCAGCCTCAGAGCGAATTAGAAACGAAAACGTTCGGGGATATGATCGGAAAGCAAATCACAATCGGGAAACTTATGCCGCGCGCCGAGTACTCGTTCGTGTTCAGTGCTCGGTCGGAGGTCGGCGAGGGCCCACCGTCAAGGGAATGGATCGTCAACACGACCCGGGAATCGCCCCCTGAACGACCTGTTATAACCAGCCATTTTCTCGGCAGTGTTCCGAATAGTCGCGTCCTCGTTGAATGGACCATTCCTCTGGATAACGGGAAACCGATCGAATTCTTCAGAGTGTCTTATCAACAAGTTGAAAGAGTATCACCGGTGGAAGTGCGCGGAATCGGCTACAAGAAATCGATGGATGTCCGCTTGTGGACGGGTACGGCATCGATAGAGCTCTTCGACTTGAAGGCGGACGCCCTCTACCAAATCAGTGTTGAAGCTTTCAATTCGATGGGTTTCGGTGACCCAGCGGTCACCCTGTTGCAAACGGCGCCGGACCTCCGTTACATCGGCTTCCCAGAAAACTCAACCGACACCCTCCGGAGCAGCATCGGTACACCTTTGCTGATCACCATCGTCGCTTTGGCTTGCCTTGTGGTTCTGGTGGTCGTGGACGTTTTGTGCTATTTCCATTTCCGTATGGGATTGCTATACGCTCTTCGTCACTTGATCTGTGCCAAGCCTTCGCAAGGCGTTTACAGCAAAACGAATTCGAGTCCGAGTTAATCCGAAAGCCGTAATCGCTTCGGCTTCAAACTGAGCGAAGCCTTACCAAAATGTATTATAAATCTAGTTCCTTGCTTACTGTGACAGTTCCGGAGCGTGACATAAACGGAGGTAGCAATACATCACGAGGATTGGTGAAACGCTCAGGAATTCGGTGGGGAGTCCACAACGGCCAAAAACACGATTCCAGCACGCACAAAAGCTGCGGAAAGCCAAATAAGTCATCGATGTCACGCTTGCCTTGAATGGTCGCTACCTTAGGCTGGTCAGACGAATTGACCGAGATGAAAACGACTGGATCTCTCAACCTCGATTCGCGTATCTCAAACTTGAGGAAGGAATCATCACTTGCTCGACGGAGGAATTATTGAGCTCTGTGTAACCGGAGAGCCACTCTCAATTTTGGTTGTGTGAAGCCATTCGCAAGGCAATGTACCTACTTAGGCGTATATTCATAGCGGTGTAATAATAGTGACTTAATTTAATTACCGGAACGAATCAAAGTGCTGCTGATCTATTCAGTCATCAACACCTGTTGCAACGAGCACCTGCTAGTGGCAGACAAGTTCGGGGATATCGCTGGACTAAGATTCTACAGTGTTTTCAACCAATACGGCGACGCCCGAAATTCTTCGCATTCGGGGACGGCATATCGAGACGGGACGAGGCCTTGTCGAGGTATTTCTAATTATTGGAAGACGTTTCATCGAGCGCGGGAGTTCAGGATATTGTTCATATATGCATGTGGAACGGAATACGGAGTGCCGAATTCCGGACACAGAGCGGCCGACAATTTAGGCGCGAGCCGAGAATCTGTAGCTGTGGTTACGTTTAGGGGTCTTCGACCTCGACGGGAAGTTTTCGGGAGCTGTTCTTCCACGAATCTGGAAATTTGTGGCATGTCCCTCATAATGCGAGACTGGATGCCTGCGGGGGGAACCCCGAGAATATTCGAATACAAAAGTATCGGGAAGAGGAGCCATTGTACATAAATTGATGATGAGAGCAGAATAAAAGAGAACGACATTATTTCTACTTCAGGCTTCGTTAGATTTTATTCAAGTGGAGGAAAGATTCAACGGCGGCTTCCTGGGAGAACAAGTCGATCGTTTGATGGATTCCCGGATGCAAGAGAGCGTTTTCTGTTTTCTGGCTTCACGGTCGAGTCGAACAAGGAATTAGGAGTTCTCGTGGCTGGGACCCTCATTTTCCTCATATTCTTTATATTTTTTCGCCTTCCCATAGACTCTATCCACGGGATATTTCTCAGCGTTTTTCTCGATCTTTCGCAACACTGCAGCACTGAGGTCGACTCCGCACCTATCGGCCAACCTGCGGAGATTGGCGGCAGATCGATGAGGAACGCTCCTTCGGCGATCTTGCTCTAGAGGCTGCATTCGGGAACTTACCTGATCAAGTACAAAAGCACATCGCTCAATTCTTCCCCTAGATGAATTTTCTCCCGGGGCGATAATTCCGGAGCGTTCGGAGAAACTTCTCTCCATTGACTGCTCCAGTGAAGGTCGACGGCATTGTAATGGAATCAGAGACAGTCTCAATTATGCTTTTTTCCAAGCGTGATTGCTGAAGGTAGGATGACTAGACTTCTGCTCGGGCTGGAACTCGCGGGAGTGAAGTGGATTCCCCGCACGACTGCTGCTTTAATCAGTTACTCACAAAATTTCTGCCAGCTCGCCGACCTCGCCCACGAGCGCTAGCATGAGGTTCCTCGGAGTGTGGTACTGTTGCCAATCACGTTCAACGCAGAATTTCTCCACTGTCTGACGCCTAGAGGATGCTCGAGCAGAGAGACGATCTGAGCGAATAACGACTAGAAAGTCGTTATCTTGGGTTTCTTCCGGCGCTGCTAGGTTCCGCGGAGCTGCACGGCTCACGTGCGTGAGCACTCCATACGCATACATATACTCACAGCTTCTCCAGAGAAAGATCACTGAATGTTGTCCCAGGAGACGCCGCCGACGTCGGTTCTTCATTCCCCTCTGAGCTCATTCTTCGACCGGGAAGGGCTGGGTCAGCTACGTAATAGAAATCGCTTTATGCGATGCGCCCCCGACGTGCGCTCCGAACATCACATCATCGCAAAGCGAGACGGCACGGCGGCAGGCACCGCTAAATCAGCCACAACCAGAAGAAAAGAAGAAACAAGCGAAACTATCGTTCGGCCATGTTAAATAAAGAATAAGAGGAAAAATGAATTTTTTAAATGAAGTTAAAAAATGAAATGTTACGGCCTAAATATCTTCATGTTAAAGGGCGACCGGGAATGTATTCAGAACAGAAACTCTCGGGTGTCGGAGGGGGACCGACGGCTAAGTTGGCCCGGAACAATTTGGCAGTTGACGCGGTCGAAGAGCGACCGGGGATCCAAAATACCCGAACGGACTCGGCTGGTAGCGAGGAGCAACCGGGGGCTAATGGAGCCCGAAACGGCCCGGAGCTTCCGCCCGGCAGGAGATGGTTTTCGAGACACCGGGAGCTCTCTCAGCCCGGAAGGACTCGGCTCGAACGGATTTTGAACTCTGCCATAAAGGACTGGGTCACCTCAGTGCGGAAAACAAGGGGAAGTCGTCGAGGGGCATGGTGGAAGGTATGAATGTGGGAAGCCCGGGGCGCTAATCTGTCTGCGCTGCTTGCGCTGAAGGGAAACAGCAGCGAGGAAGATTCCCCACGTCACGATCGGCGAGCACAGCGGAGCTCCAGTTACTTCACAGCGATGTCCGTTGACCCATGAGTATTTGAGGTCGTAAGTACTTAATATTAATCGCCGATGAAACCACGCGAATGACTGCGGTATATTCCATGAAATCAAAGGCGGAGACTTTGGAAGAGCTCGCGGACTTGAGTTTCCTGATAGTGTTTAGGTGCTTGGCCTTTGCGCACGTTCCGAAGGAAACGTTGCGGATCCGAAGTCGGAAAAATTCATCTACGTAGGTTATAGTTCTCTGTCGAGGGCATACAGAGTTATCTCGATCGAGGACAGAACTCAAGTGAAGAAGAAAAGGGATATTATCTTCGACGAGTATACTATGGCAGCCCATGTCGTAGCCAATGACGGCACATCGGCTAAAGACTTCGGTAATAATCAACTGGAGGCCGCGGATGGCTCCTCTCATCTATCGCTGTCAGGAAAGAGCGTGATCGAACAAAATCTTGGAGAGCTCGCTCGTGAACCGGTCCACCTGAGTTCTAATGCGAACTCCGACGGAAAAAAAATGTCCAGGAGGTACGTCGATATCCTGAACGTTCTCGAGAGGAACCGGCCTGGAAGACGCACCACGTCTGCATCAGCTGTCAAAGTAGAACCTCCAACTGCGATGCTCCGGCATCGGTGGGAGAGGCAATGGATGGCGAGGAAGCTGAAGAATGGTGGTCAGCTATGGAGACTGAGATGGGAGCTCATCGGAGGGACGGGACATGGATACTCGTCGAGCGAACTAAAGATAAGAACGTCATTTCGTCGAAATGGGTCTTCCAGAGGAAAAGAGATGGCGAAGGGAGGACCACGGAGCTGATGGCGCGTCTCGTGGGTCGGGGCTGCTGTCAGACTAAAGGTGATAGGGGGAGCACGGAAACATCGTCAGACAAACGGGCTGCATTAGCCCCCGGTTGCTCGCTACCAGCCGAGTCCTTCCGGGTATATTGGTTCCCGGGTTGCTCCTCGACCGCGTCAACTGCCGAATTGTTCCGGGCTAACTCAGCCGTCGCCCCCCCTCCGACACCCGAGCGTTTCTGGACTGAATCCATTTCCGATCGCCCGTGAACCTCGCAAGCTGCGAGAGCATTGATGAAACACTCTCCTAGGCGAAACAATCCGCTGCCTGAAAAAACTGCCACAGCGCACAGCTCATCATGCTCGTCTTTCACCGCGCACCGTCGCCCAAATTCTACTTTCGAGCCTTTCCTTGTGAGCTGTTGCACCGATTTGAGACTGACCGTAAGGTCAGGCATGAAGAGTACGTCCCCAAGCCAGAGGGTCCGAGAGATTGCGTTCACCGAGCGTGTAATATTGACTTCACCGGAACCTTCCGATCTCAGGATCTCATCGTACGCAGTGGCAAGTTTTCGGTCGGTTTCTCCCAGCCCTGGTTAAGGACACAAACAAGTTCCTCTGTCCTGTCATAAGTCGGGTCGTCCCAGAGTCGATGAACCACTCTTCGAATCGTTGGGAACATACCAGCACGGGTTCTAGCTGCCCTTCGTCTCCCGGCGTCTCCAGCTCCGTTGCGATTTTCCCGTGCTCCCCCCGGATACTCCCCCGTATAGTGTTCTCTCTGCTGAACCTTCTCATGTGTCCGGTTTTTCCGCATCGTTAGCATTCGCCTCGGAACACTCTCCTTTCATAGGGACCCCCGTTCCCCGTTGCTCCTCCTCGGCGGTGAGGCTCGCTCGCTGAAGATGGTGCGTTCCTACGGGAAGCATTTCTATCAATCGTTCCGATGCCAGCCAACGCTGTTTCTCTTTTCTGAGATGCTTGTCTGTCTGCGTCACTCAGCAACCTCTCTTTCACGAATTCGGTAGAGATGTTCTCTGTCGACGAAATGCTCTGTATCAACGGTGTAAACTCTTCAGGGAGTTCCATCAGAATCAACCCAGCAAGGAGTCAATCATCGACCTTGCTATGGATAGGCTCTGTTCCGCTTTGACCTTCCTATTTATGTACGTCTTCATGTCCGGGCAGTCCGCGTAACGAACCGCGGCGAGTTCCACGAGTCGTGCGACCTGACGATTCAGACCCCTCGACTGATACAGGTTTTCCAATCGATCCCTCATCGCCTTACCCGACAAGAAGTCTCGAATATCGGAGAGTTCGGAGCTTATCCCGGAGACGATAGCCCCTTTTTCCCTGACGTTCGTCTTCCTTCGAGCCTTCCACACAGTCCCAGAGGTCGCAATTGAAAAGATGGGCTTTCATGGCAAAGCTCCAGTCCATTTAGTTCGTCGCCCCTCAACTGGCCTAAACTGTGCGTCCGATGATTCTGCCGAGCGATCCATAAACCTCCTCCTCATCGTAGTTGTAGGTTGCGGCCCCGACACCGTATCGTTGCTCGCTGATCTTGTTCGCACCGGCAGCGTAATCTCCTGTTTCACGAATCACCACGCATACTCCAATTTGCTTTCGATTTTCGTCTAACAAGTTCGATCCGACTGCGACTTTTTTCTGTGGGTCATCGTCGAAGTCTCACACCAGTTCACGGTTTCACAAACTGGGACATAGGTGTAGCGAACAACCGACTGCCTCGCGGAAAGGGGCTTCAGTGGCTTCGTGGCCTTCCGTTTTCTTCGTGAGCGAAAATATCTTTATATATCAATCAATCAATCAAAGTTCAGATTACCATGGAGGAATTTAAGTTGAACTAAACTAATTAATTCAAATTACAGTTCCGTTGTCGCATTATTCATCCTTTGAATGACCTATATTAGTAGCAGTATTTTGACCCTCCTATTTATGTACGTCTTCATGCCCCATGTGAAGAAGAGTGTCGCCTTCATTCGATTCTGGGTGTCGCTGTTTTGGCGCAAGAATCAGCTGACGAGTCCCACGTCACACCGAAAAAGAGCATGAATGAGATGCGTTGCATGAGACCGACCGATCCGGACATTCCGGAGAAGGCTCGTAGTGATTCGATCATTGAATACGAATGGACTGGGGCCGATGTAATTGTGATGTTCCGTCTAGAAGTGAATACGATATTCGTCTGTCAAATCAGATCAGACAAAATCGGCTGACATCGCGAATCAGCCGCGCGGCGAGCGAGGCCGTTCGCTTACCTATCCACAAGTCGACTCCATCCTCACTCAGTCCATAGGCTGCACTCATCACAAACTCCACGCTTGCAATCAATCTCAAGCAAGGCTTGCTTGAGGCGGCGGGCATTTGCATCAAGAGACCGGAACTCTCGCTCCGAAGAAATGGACACAGATACAATATCTGTACTGGAATGACGTGAATCACGCTCCGCAGAAAACGCTCCGCATCTATTAGCGTAAATCGACTCCCCGATGTAGATTTCCTTCTTCCTCCCGAGGAAGCGACTGATGTTTGCCGTCTTCGTCGAACGGAGTAATTACCCACCGGCCCTTACGACTGAACTGCTCCTTCCGAGCTCTCCCAGCAGCGAATGAAGGCGTCGTCGTCAAATTGATTTCTGAAGTTCGAGCGAAGAACATACATCAGAAATATCATGGATCAGCTAATTGCAACCTTAAGTTCCAATCTCCTTTTTCGCGCAGCTCGCATCATTTCGTCCGCGATTGGCCGACGCGGCTTCATAAAATGTCAACGATGCTGGATCTCGCTCTGGGGGCGAAGGGGTTAGCGGAGCTGGTTTTTCAATCTTCAGGCGTTCCTCCGATGCACCTCTTCTGTTCGCCCGAATGTTATTCCTGGATCATTCCTTAGATCTTCGAGCTGCCCGAGAGAAAGGATGAACGAATCGGAAAACTGTTTACCTTGCCAACGAGATAGTCGGAGCGGATCTTAAACAGACAAAGATTCGCCACTGCGTCGAGCAAGAACGTTGTGCCGGTGGAGCCCGCCGACAAATTTTCCGCCGGCCACTTCTTCCGTCAGTGAGCTGTGAAGTGAGTTTCGATCTAGCGAGAGATCACGTCAGCGAACTCAGTGAAAACCGTGGCAGAAAATCCGGCGTCATCATGAGCGTCCTGAGCAAGTTCCGGACGATTCCTTACAACTGTTACGAGATCGCCCATCCGACCGTAGAGTCCTGCGCGGATCTTTCGCTCAACGCTCTCACGGCGGCATTTCGCCGCAGCATCACGCTGTACGGTACAATTTTCATAATTCAGCGAGTGATCAGCGGCAGATTCGGGTGGGCGGATATTCTCCGTACGATACCAAAAGCCCTCCAATCGTCGATGTTCGTCACTGTCAACATTTATCTTTTCATAAGCCTCACTTGTCAGCAGTCCCGAATTCTCAAGAAGTTCTCATTGATGACTCCTCTAAATTCCGCTCTACTCTCGTCTCTGCTCGCAATCCATCTCGAAGTCCCAGCTCGTCGCCGGCTCCTTGCCGTGTACATGATGGACATCGCAACGGAAACGGCCTACGAGTCCATGTGCCTCCATACCAATTTCAAACCGATTCCGTACTTCCCAGTGTTTCTCTACGCTGCTAGCATGGCAGCTCATTTCCATCGCGCGACTTCGTCGCGGGATTTGCTCGTAAGGGGTCTCGGATTCCTAATCGGTCAGCGATCGGATCACTCCATCGATTCACAACCCGCGGTGGAAACTCAGGCAGCTCCGGGATTGTGGGCGTCTCTCAAGGCAAGACTGAGCCCTTCGTCCCATGACTGTACAAGCAACAGCTGTGTTCACCACGCGGCCCGGAGCGGGATCAGAGGTCTCGTGAGCGGATACCTCCTCAGCGTAATCATTAGTTTGCCAGGATTACTCAGAGGCTCATCACCCAACAAAGAGAGTGCAATTCGTCTAGGAGCTTTTCTAGCAGTGACTTCCGCCGGCACGAGCGGTATCCAATGCCTCCTGCAGAAGTCTTCACTATGTCGGACTTCACTGTCCGCCAAAACGAGACTCACAATCGCAGTCTTCGTTTCCAGCTTGAGCATAGCAATCTACCCGTCACGTCGTATAGCCCTCCATATTTTTTGGCGGACTTTAGCCTCTTATTTGAAATTTGATAGTGTACCGTATCCGCTTCCCGAAGCGACGTACGCGATTTGTTGTGCTGCACTCGCGTTCTTCGTCGTTTACGAGCCCCAGACTTTACGGAAGTCTTACCTGAAGTCCCTCGATCAGCTGTCGGGTGATTGCTTATCGAAGATAAACCGTCATCCCTTGGAAGCCTATTCTGGCTGCCATTCGAGCAAATTGTACCCGGAATTCTTCCCGATGAAAGAATTGAAACTTTCGCGGGTATCTCCCAAATTCATCGAGCAAGTCCTGATATGGAGCGTTCGTTGAGCGTTCCCGCAGACCGAGACATCTTTCTTCCGCAGTAGGAATGGAAGCTCCGCAGGAATCGATTGAATCCCGTCGTAAGTGCAAGCCAGTCCAATACTGCGTTGCGCAGGTTGTTATTTGTTATATTGCACTTTATTACGATACAAAAAGGACAACAGTGGAATAATTAAATATTGACAGACTCATTTTCTCTATTCTTTATTCTGTTGGTAGGTGCGTCTAGCGGGCTTTGACATCACCCAGATCTTCGATGGAATCTTCGTCGATTTCCGACCATTTTTCCAGTATCAAGTCGAAGAGGTCGTCTTTGACATCACCTGGGAAAGACAGAGCGTCGGTTTTCCGACGCTGATATCGAACAAAATTCTTTTCGGGCGTTCATCGCTCGCGAATCTCTGGTTAAAGATTTTTCTCACCTTGAATAACTATTTCATCCTCGCCGGTCACGGAGCTGCCGCAGGCAAATTTATGACCGAATAATTTGGAAGCTTCCTTGAGATCGATATCGAATGTTGCTAGACCTTGTATGACGGTGACGCTTTTCTTTTTTCCCCGAGCTTGTCGGCTCAGCTGTATGTGCCTTTCCTTCTCGACCTTCTTCTTCGTTTTGATGACACCCTTGCCACCCCGTTTTTGACGTTTCTTCTCCTCCTCTGTTGATTCGCCTAGATGAAATTTCATTTGAAATGGGAGGCTATCAGGATCCTCGGCAGGCATCGGGAACGTTTTTTTCCAAAGCGAAGTCTCGATAGGTGTTGGATTCGTTGAATCTAAAGATTCGGGTCGCAGCTACGTACCTTTGGCGCCTTCACAGCCTTCAGTGAGCTTCATTCGTTTCTCGAATTCCTCCGGCAGGTGCTTCATCAACCATTCGTTGCATTTGGCAGCATTCGAGTAGTACTCGCAGTACTCAATCGGCATCGAACATTCCCCGCAGTAGTAGACCTGCAGGTGATCAAAGTTATCAGCTTTTTCTGGTTCAGCATATCTGGGAAGGGAAATTCAGATACTGTTCCCGACCCTCACGAGCCAGCCTTCTGCATTCTATTCATGGGATTCAGAATTGATTGGCCGCTTGCAATCGAGCGTGAATTATGAGTACAGGCGATTACTCGGAGATACGTCTTCTCGGTCATTGGAAACTTCGAAGGATATATTTCGCGAGCCGGGAGAGCTCCTGCTGGCGTTCGAATGCGAGGGAAAACTCTAGAAAAGTACCTCAATGGGATATTTGACGCCCGGGAGCGGACCGACGGGCAGAGCATCCGTCATGACTTTTTCGTGGGAGCAGCGTAACAGAATCGACTGGATCAGAAATCTTTGACACTGGAGTGGGAACAGCAGCGAATCTTGAGGAATCGGCGAACAGACACACGCTTGTCGCCGCGTCGTCTGGTCTCGGTGGTAAATAAGTAGTCAGGACTCAAGACATTACTGCCCTGGTATCCACCTGGGGGTGCTGGATGTAGAAATCCAGTCCCGAAGCTGGGCACTGTCATGATCCAAGCAAGAAGCAGGTCTAACGGGGAAACAATCGGGGAAAGCTTCGCCGGTCAAGCTGTCTCACATGAAGGGAATCTATCGGCTCTACCTTTCGGAGTCAATGATGCTGATGATCTTTCCGTGTCAATTATTCTGACTGGGGCGACGCCGCTTCGCGGTCTTCATCGAGTACGCGCTCCACGGCGAATTCAATCGCGCCTCTAGGATGGAGCGCAGCGCCCCTGTCGATGAGAGTGAAAGGGTATGGTCGAGGGCTCGAACAGTACGAGGATTCTTACTTTCCTATGGAGTTTTCCACCCTTTGCCGAAGCCACAGACTCCCTCCGAGGGGCGATAAATCTCTGGCGCCGAGCCTCGACACCTGCTTTCTCTGGAGCACTCCCTGATGGACGATGAATTCGGAGAATGCGAAACTCGAATGAACCTGGTCGAGGGGGAGAAGCTTCTACGGGCTTTTCTCGAGTTTTGCTTGGAGATCCGATCTCTGGGACGCTCATTGACGATTATACAGTCGATGATTATTGTCTTGGCATCACAATCCCGAGTTTTCGTGTCGTTGATGATAATCATCATCGCTTCTGGTTCCGCGGTCAGGAGTAGAGTGAAGACTCTACTGAAGCAATCGGATTCTGCTCATGCTCTCATCATCGCTGAGAAATAAGATGGAATCAGTCGACTTCCCCCATTCCAGGAAGCCGCGGATGGAAATGTGTGCCGGAAGTCATCCTGACGGCGGAGGTCGTCAAGGAAAGAGGAAAATCTTGAGAATAATTTTCTCATAGACCAACGCGCTGTGAATCCCAGCTCGGCGACTTGCGATGCAAAGAGCTGCTCCCGGAAATCAGCATTATGTCTACCGCAGCGGTTCCCGACCTTTCCTTCACGCGGAGCCCCAGAGACGTCCGCATGGGCTCCTCGAAACCTGACCGCGAAGTATTCTGAGCTTTAATCCAATGCATGCTCTTTCATCGATTCCCGCCGGTAAGGGTACATATGATGACTTTAATCTCGAGAATGAACTTGAGTTCGGGAGAAATTGAAAATTCTCGGCGGACCGTTAGAGGACTCACGGAACCTCAATGGTTACGCGGAACCCTGGGTCTATCGGAATCAAGTCAGCTCTATTGAAAGTCTCGTCAGTCCTGTCCCTGTTGAATCGGCGGAGAGGTCATGGAATCAGTTGGATGAAGGCGCGGCATTCCAGGAAGACATTCCCGGCTCCGAAAGAGTTCGATTGAAGATTACGAGGACCCCTTGATGGAACGAAGCTCATTGTCAGCCCAAAAGGTTTACTCTGATCCACAAGAGGGAGCAGTGGCGAGCGCCTACGCCATTTGGGAACGTTCTCCTACTGGGATCGCCTTCTACTCACAATTAGATTGCGGCCTCTGAACACACCGGGTTCCCTCATCACAGCGGATCCCAGAGCGCTCGAGACAGTCAATGCTCTGGTGGGAGCTCGAGGCGTTAGCGGAGAGTTCTCGTCGACTTTCGGTTCCTGAAAAGGAATTACCCTAAAATCCCGACCATAAGGAACGCCTCGTATAGGGAGCTTCCCGTATAAGGAACCCCACGAATAGGGAACTCTCCGTGTAAGGAACCCGGCCTATAGGGAACTTCCCGTATAAGGAACCCCGCCTATAGGGAACCTCCCGTATAGGGAACCCCACGTATAGGGAACTTTCCGTATAAGGAACCTGGGGGAATTCCCTTTTGGCAAAGTTTCTCATACAAAGAGTCCCTAAGGATAGGGTTCCTTACACGGGAAGTTGCCAATAGGCGAGGTTCCCTATACGGGAAGTTCCCTATAGGCGGGGTTCCCTATACGGGGAGTTCCCTATAGGCGAGGTTCCCTATACGGGAAGTTCCCTATGAGTAGGGTTCCTTATA